CCAGCTTGAAAGAGCAAAGGGACTCCAGTGGCAATAGCGATAGATGGGGAGAGCGGAAGGCTGCCTGTCCGGGTGGTACTGAGCACAATAAATTGCATCATCTCCGGCACCTGCGATAAAGAAGAAGGGTCCCATCCACGGGTCTCCCTGGAGGACCTCCCAAAGGGCCCAGGAAGGAGACACCATGACACACCAGCCAGGGCCAGAGGGAGTGCACGTGGGATATCCGTTACCTCCCCAAAACTTCTTACCCTGAGCTGTTGCTGGGAACTGGGTAGCAGGTGCCAAAACAGAAGAGATGGAGGGGGAGCTAGGAGCCAAGTCAGAACCTGCTGTGCTTATACTGTCCTCAAAGATGGGCAGCAGGCAAGGAGGAGGTCTTAAAATGAGGGGAGGACATGAACGGGCTACATGTGGGTAGAGAGTGGAGGACTGGCAAATATCCAGGGCACGACTTACTCTCATTGCTGAGCTGAGACTGACCTTCAAGATTGAAAATGATCAAAGATAAGCCTGGCATGAGTCTCTTATTGCTGCTGTAACCATTGACTATAAACATCGTGACTTAAAGAACACAAACATCATCCTGCCGTTCTGCAGGTGAAAGTTCTGAAATGAGTCTGATGGGGCTAAAATCAAGGTGTCAACAGGGCTGGTTCCTTCTGGAGACTAGAGAAGAATCCATTTCTTGCCTTTTTCAGCTCTTGGAGATCTCCCACATTCCTTGGCTCATGGCCCCTTCCTCCATCTTCAAACCCAGCAATAGCAAGTCAAGTCCTTCTCTGACCTCATCCTTCTAACCTCCTCTCCTGCCTTGCTCTTCCATTCTTGAGGACCTCCGTGATGGCATGGGGCCCACCTGGATCATCTCTACACTGACCTTGAGCTCAGCTGATGATCAACTTTAACTCATCTGCAACCTTCATTCCCATTTGCCGTGTAGGGGAACATCTTCACAGGTTCCAGGGATCAAGATGTGGTCATCTTTGGGGGAGCCATTCATTATTCCTCCTGCCACAAACCTGTTACATAAAACTGAAGGAAAAGTCGGGAGGTTTTGTCCATATCCCATGGAAAAAGATCTCTCCTACAAACATTTTCTCAGTGACCAAAAATAGGTTTGATATCGATACTACTCAAGAACCTTGTGACCAGCACATAGAAGATCCCCGTTTTCTTTGTTAAGCAAAGGACCATGCCTTTATCTGCTGGTGTGTGGTTTTGAGGTCTCACACCAAGCAACCCTCTCTGGAGTTGCTCATGTCGCTATGTGATATGGAGGGAGGAGGGGGCAAATATTCCATGATCTCATCTCTCTACAGTTGGTTTTCTACCATGCAGAATTTGGAGACCCAGCGTGGAGGAGCACAGGTCTCCGACATTCACTGTTGCAGATAAGGGGCAGTGATGGATAAATAGCTTCCATTTTGCCCAGAAATCCCTCTCAATGTGTCCCCCACCACGGGTCAGATTGAGTTCATGTCTACACATGATGCTCTTTCCATAGGTGGCTGCGCTCCTGGCACAGCAGGATGTTGTCCAGTCTATTTTGCAGAAATAATTCAACAGTGCTTGGGAGATCTGGGGAGTTCCTCTGACACGTACCTCTAATTTTTTCTTCATGCTGTTCCATTTTAAAGTACGCTGCTGAAAAAATCTGGAAGCATTTTAGTAAAGGCAACAGAACAGGAGACTTCTACTGACCACGGTATGTAGAGATGAATCAAAACAAAACTACCCTCTCGATTTCAGCAAGATTGCCAGTAGCCTGGAGTATCATTCAGGGTTTACTCAAGACAGACCGGGGGCAGGCTTCACGTGGAACATTCCTGAAAGTCTGCTTCTGCTCAAGTCAAGATACATCCTCACTAGCTATTAGTCCACCCCCGGGATTTGCCAGCTATGCAAATAGATATTTCCTGCGTAGACTTTCTCTCTCTCTCTCCAGTCATCCTAGACTATTTAGGGTCAGCTCTTCCCCTGATTGTGGAGGCTGAGCAGCCGCGGGAGGCCAGCCACGTGACTCAGGCATTCCTTTTACAGTCCCTGTTAAGCAAAGAACACATAATTCCACAGTAATCCACAGCCTCCCTTAGAATATTAAACTCGTCCATTGGAGCTCCAAGCCCTTGAGAACTTCAGCTCGTACAAGAAACAGCCAATATATCCCCAGAGATCCTGCTTTGGGGTAGAATCAGATAAGAAGATGAAAGATGCAAGAATAGAGAAAAATAAGTGACTGTAGGTTCACTGGATCCTACGTATGAACTACAGATACGGTGCATGGACCGTGTTCCACTTTCTGTGTACGGGATTGCATCCTGTTGTCACACCAGCTCTGATAGGCAAACATCCCTGTCCTTATTTTATGTGTGGGAATGCTGATTTCAGGGAGGGTGAATAGTGTGTTTCTGGGCCATCCAGCCAAGAAATAGTAGGCAGGAGGAGGGAGTGGGTCCATCCCAGCCATCTGACTCAATTACCGATCGCTCTGCTGTTAACGGGGGCCGTACACTCGTCACAAGGAGAGTGGATCGGAGAGTCCTTATGATGAGGCAGAGCGATGATGGATCCCCCACAGCAGAGGACTGTAGGGGCTTCTGAGCTTTGAGTTTTTGCTATCCTCATGCCCCTAAAGAGAAGTCTGGTCAGGGGCTGGCAGATTTGGTTCTTGGAGGGGCCCTCTTCCTGACTTGCTGATGGCTACCTTCTCACTGTGTCCTCACACAATGGAGAGAGAGCTCTGGTCTCTTCTTATAAGGACACGAAGCCCATCATGGGGGCACCAGCCTCCTGACCTCATCTACCCTAATCACCTTCCAAAGGCCCCCCTCCTAATACCACCACTGTAAGGGCTAGGGTGAACATATGAATTTTGAGGTGATGCTATTCAGTCCATAACAAACATACTGTCAAAAGTCTGGTTCAAGAAAAGAGATGCTGCTGAAAATAAGAACATGGAAAAGCCATAGCTGATGAAATCAGTAGGTACTCCATCAAACGACGTGGTGTTTGGTTACTAGGAGGACTCAACCCGTTGTCAATATTCAGGTCAATATTACTTGTTTGCTCAAAGCACATAACTAGGTAGCTACAATTAGCTACAAGCTGTCCTGCCTTGCTGGCCTGTCCTCCATCCTTTCATTCCTCCTCAACCTCCACCTAGTGGAATTCTGACCAAACAGGTGAATTTCATTCAACCAACATGTATTTAAAACCTTCTGTATCCTAGGAATCTTGTTGTTGATTCTGGAGATTCAATGGTAATAAAACGTGGTTCCTCCCCCGGAGACAACCACCGAGGAAGCTGGCAGTGCTAGCGGGACAAATGACAAAACAAAAGGACTAAAGACACCAAAATACTGATTTTTTTTTAAAGTGAATCACTTGGGATCCATAATGCTATATTCATGGATTTGTCATACAAGTCATGTGCTGCAAAATTTTTAATCTACACGTTTCTTAGTAAAACTGACCCTCACTCACTCATTGATTCATTCACACATTGAATTGAGCGCCTAGTGTAAGCTAACCACCACGTTCGTGTCCAGGTTCCAGAAAGTTACCATATAACTTAGACCAGGGTAAGGAATTGGCCATAATGCAAGCAAAGGGCCGTATGGATGGGCAGGAATGTTGGGAAATGTTATGAGATGGAGGTTGAGGGGGCGACTATCAAGCAACAGCAGGAGAGGGGCAAAGAACTGACTACAACAAGAACCTCAAGATGAGGACATGCATGGACATTTAAAGAAGAAGAAGAAGGCACAGAGATCTGGTACCATTTCTCCAAAGCCAGACGTGTCAGCAGAAGCAAGGGCCCTGGGACAGGCTGGCATGACCCCGGCATGCCATGTGCCCCCCATGGTCAACTTCAGAGTTTGTCTTGAGGATGACCACAGCCCTTCATGTTTTGGTGACCCACTGGAGGTTGAGGAAAGAAGGAATTGGTGGAAGAAGAGACTGATAGATGTTAGGTCATGAGGATCCATATCATGGCAGTGAGAGATAGGGAGGGAAGAGGCCTTCGGGCCCAACATTCTTAGGAGTCAGAACCCCCAAGACTTGACGACCGGCTGACTGTGAGGCCACACAGGAGAGGCACGTGGGGAGGGTGACTTGAGTTTCCAGTTTCGCGGAGTAGCTGGATGGCAATGCCATTAATGCGGATAAGGAGATGACGTTCTGGGGACAAGTTTTGTATAAATTTAATCAATACGTTTTGGGCATTCCAAGAACGTGGATATCTCAAACTAGGAGAGAAATACATCCACACACGTTGTTTGAAAAGTAAAGCTGTTGAAGAAGTGAATCCACCCGTTTATGAACCAGTACCTATTGGTGATATGCCCGGTGGTCGCCACCTTGCATGAGGGGCAGGGAGGAATTCCTGCACACTTCTTAGGAGAAACTAAGGCAATCCCTCCATACTCCATGCACCAGAAGCAACTCATCTCAAGGCTCATTTCTGGCCACCTCCTTACAGCCCCTGGGTAGCATCCTGAGCATGCAGCAGGCTCAATCAGGACTCCTGGAATGGGCCTTTCTTGGCTGCTCCTCGTGCTTGGACATCCTCTTGTTTCTCTTCACAATGGCTCTGTCCTTTTGCCCTAGGAGGATTCTGCTGATAACTGTACTCACCTCAGCCATTCCCATCTGTCTCATGTCCGCTTCCTCCTGGAAGCCAGATGGCCTCCTTCTCTTCCCTCCCCTTCTGGGTCAGGGACACCCCATCCTCTCCAGCCTCTGTTTCTTGCCCTCCCCCTTGGTGGTCCCCACATCCCCCAGCTACTACCACCAGGCTCCCCAAAGTTTCCCCATCCTGGCCCTGCCTCCGCAGGCTCTCCAAGCGGGAGGAGAGCAGTTCCGTCTTTCAGGCTGGAGGACTCCGGCGGCGCGAGGGAGGCGGGCGGCCGGGAGCCACCGGAGAGGCGGGAGGGCGTGGCAGCGGCGCTCAAGTTGCAGCCGGGCCTGCAGCTCCGGGGATGCCGGCGGGGCGCTGCCGGCTGCTGCCTGCACACGGGTTCCGAGACACTGCCAGAGAAAACTCCATCCCGCCTGGAGCAGCGCGAATCTTGCTCCTACTCTCTTCTCCAAACGAAAGAAACCGTCTCCATCGCTGCAGGGAAGAGCGCTTTGTGTAAGGACTCTCCGCAGCAGCTCCCACCTCGCTCCCTGCTTCTCCCCCTCCCCTCGGGTCCCTGGACTTCCTCTCGAACCACGAATACTCGTTCCCAAAGCCGTGTGCGTTTGGCTCCTGCGCTTCTCCCAGCAGGAGTGGGCGAGGCGTGCCCACCCGGGACGAGGCACGATGAAGAGTCGAGAGGAGGGCTGAGCGCAGGGCGGCGCGGCCAGGGTCCCTCGGCTCGGGCGCGCGCCCCGTCTCCCCTGGGTGGGGCAGGGTGGGGGTGGGCCAAGGCGTGGACTCGGGGAAGTCTCTCGGCGACCGTAATAAAAGGGCGCCGGCTCGCCCTGCCGCGCTGGGAAGCCGTGCTGCCGCGCCCCCGGCCCCGGGAAGGGCATGGCCCCGGCGGACCCCCGGCGGTGACTTGCGCGCCCCGGCCCCGTGGATGCTCCGGGCGCACCGCTCCCGTTTTTGGCGGCTTCCGAAGGACAGGTGAGCACCGAGGGCAGCCTGGGCACCCGGGAGAGGGGGTGGCGGGGGAGATACTGGTTCTGTCTGCAACGGGTGAAAGGAATTGGGGGTGGCCAAGGGAAGACCACGGGGTGACAGCAAAGAGGCATCTTGAAGTGCTTCCAGGCACTGTGTTAAGGAGCTGAGGGGCCAGTTACCATTCAGGAGGGAAGCTGATGGAATTTTGAGGGACGATGCTTTGAATAGGTCTAATGAACTCCCGACCCTTTCTCCCTTCGTCCTTCCTCCCTCTCCCTAGCGGCCTGTCGCTCATCCTCCCCTGGTTTCTAGCGAGCCACCAAGGGGATCCCCAAGTGAAAGCGATCCCGCTCTTGCGTTGGTGGGGAAAACACGGTTGCGGATCCTCCTCCCTATTCCTCGGGGTCCGGGGTACTGAGGGTCTCCTCCCCCTCCTTGTCCTCCTCCTCCCCTGGAAAGGGGAAGACCGAAGGCCCCGCCGAGGGCTGAGCCCCACGGAAGCTGGAGAAGTCATCATCTGGGAGAGACGGCGTTTGGTGTCGGGGTCCCGGCAGCGGGGACCCGCGGGGCAACCCGAGCCGCGTTCCGGGAAAGCTTGTAATTCACCGCGCCGCCGGCGGGGCACGTCGGAGCGGGCGCTGGAAGGTGGCCAGGGGCGCAGGGCCTCGCGCCCGGCCGCTGCAGATTGTCCGCCTCCAGGGGGGCGAACGCGCACTGCCTCGCGACCCCCGCCCTGCTGCCTGGGGTTCCCCCTGGCAGCCCTGCAGGCTCAGGGTGGGTTCCCTTACAGCCCCAGGACTAGGGTTCCCTGGGGCGCGTTCCTTTGGTCTCCAGGGAGGACCTGGGTGGGAGGCAGGACGGAGAGCGAAGGCTGGGGAGGACGCATGGGGATGCTGGGGCCAGGTCTGCCTGCAGGCAAGGGGTTTGGGTCAGGATGCCCTTGGCAGAAGCCCAGAGCCGAGGTCAGGCGCGCAGGCGGGGGCGTGCGAGGCCTGGGCTCAGGCGAGCTGGCGAACTGCTCGCTGCAAAGCTTTAGGAGCCTGTTCTAGAACGCAGAGGTGGAGCCTGAACTTGCTTTCTGCAAAGTTGCCTGCATCGTCAGCTCTTTATGGGCGACTGAAAGGCGAGATGCACACGGGTTTAAGAAAGTATCCATTTCGAGGTCATGGAAAGGATGGAAAAGCTACGGACTGGGGATGTGTCTATGCTGTATGAGCGGATGTCGAGTTTGTTATTAGCGGTGAGCGCTTGCCCAGAGCAGGGACAAAGGCAGAGGCGCGTTTCTCTATTGTACTCTTTGCTGTCCACGCGTATTCCTATTTGTAAATAAACTTCATTCAAGAGATGACAAAAATATGAGATGCTGAAGACATGACGAATGCGTGAAAAAAATAATCACTGACATTCTGAAAGAGGTAGCTGATGAAACCTAATATTTGAAATATCTGACCATTCCCCCCCCCCTTTTTTGGTAAACTCCTTGATCTTTTTTGTGTGTGTGAACATATTTCATCAGGCTGTTCCTATCCTCTTTATCAAACGGCAGATTTTACAGAGGTTTTCGCAAACTTCCCCCTGCTAAACAAGGATACTGGACTGTAGCAACACTTTGGTCCTTCCCAGAAAAAAATTAAGTGTAGTAAACAGACCCACAAATAATGGATTAAATTTCGCTTTAGTGAACGCTTTTGAAGCACTTTAAGAAGATACAATGAAAACTTAAGGAATGTCATTAAAAGAAGGAAGTAATCCTAATCATAGTGACTTTCTTTAGAAGTTTTTTATTCAAATATATGCAGTGTCTATGGCTCAGAATTAACATTGGGGTCAGGCACATAATTATATTTTTATTATTTATTTTATTATTATAGAAACGGAAATGTACCTCTCCTTCTGTCTCTATGTATATATATGTATATACATATATATGCAAATACACATGCATATATATTTGTGTCTCTGTGTGTGTGTGTGTGTGTTCTGTACTTTCTCTCATAACATAACGAGACTTCCAAATTGTCGTATCGAAGTCAGGAATTAAGGCTCTGTTCTATAGTAACCATTAAAGTTAACAGCGAACGATTAAGACAATAAGTTTTGTGTTTCCTGACTCAAACATTTTGTGTCGTGAAAATAAATCATTTGAAGTCTTGGGAAGCTTAAAACCAGTATGCTCCATTCCAATAAAATTTGCTGAAAATAAGGGATTGCGACCTGATACTAAGTGAATCCCGTTTTGTGGTTCCACAACAGGTGTTCCAGGATGAGGCACCCCGACAAGATGCCAACGCGGTCGCACTGGCGAGTACTCTCCGTGGTGCTGATTCTGGTCTGGGGACATCCTCCAGCGGCACTCGCCTGCCCTCACCCTTGCGCCTGCTATGTTCCCAGCGAGGTCCACTGCACGTTTCGCTCCTTGGCTTCCGTGCCAGCTGGAATTTCTAAACATGTGGAAAGAATCAATTTGGGGTTTGTACCACATTCTTACTGAAAAACTTTGGCCTCTTTGCCTGCATGTTTATTCGCTTTTCCGTATATGTATGTGCATCTACATAAGTGCAAATGGATACTCCTTTATGTGTTGTTCCATCTAGCGTTACGTACTTCCATAGGGGCAGAATCCAGGTGACAGTTTTTAACTATACTAAATGCGATCCTTTTGGGATATTATCTAAATTCATCCATTGGCTGCAACTGCTATCATAAAGTTTAATAGCCACGTGTCATGAACAACTTAAGTTTGCTGAGAAATTTCCCTCGATAACAATTCTTAAATATATAGCAGATACGAATGCATATGACACACATGTAAATATACGGATATTGTTTAAACAGACCAGGAAATATTAAAAACATTAAATATTTTTATTTAAAAATAATAAAAAGAATCAATGGGACATCTCTGACCTTTTGCAAGTTATCTGGATGATGTAATTGTGACTTTGACACAATAAAAGAGTTCTTTCGGATGCCTATTAAAATATTAATATGTTTTCAAGAGATGAATTTCTGCAGCATCCCAGACAGAATTTTTATATTTTTAAATTTTGTTTTATATACATAAATATTAGTTGCTATGAATTACAGGTACTCGTGTACAATTTTAATAGTAGACAATCATTTGGACTTCTTCAACGAAATATATTAGCTATTTCCTCTCTCTCTCTTTTTTTAAAGACTGGCACCTGAGCTAACATCTGTTGCCAATCTTCTTTCTTCCTCCTCTTCTTCTCCTTCTCCGTCTCCTTCTCCTTCTTCTTCTTCTTCTTCTACTTCTTCTTCTTCTTCTCCTCCTCCTCCCCAGAGCCCCCTAGTAGTATATTTTAGCTGTATATTTTACCTATAGGTCCTTCTGGTTGTGCTATGTGGGATTCTGCCTTAGCACGGCCTGACAAGCCGTGCCATGTTGGCACCCAGGATCTGAGCCAGCGAAACCCTGGGCCGCCAAAGTGGAGTGTGCGAACTTAACCACTTGGCCATGGGGCCAACCCCTTCAACAAAATATATTAGCTATTTTCCACCATCTAGAAGACACTAAAATAATGTAGGGTTGATGAATATCCACTAAGGGGACATTGTAGTAAAATGAGATGGCCAAACCGAAGTCAATGAACAAAGAATTGTACATGTGCCTAGAAGCCTTAGCTTACAGAGTTAAATGTTTTTATTGCATTTATTGTCTATAAAGCCCAGTAGCAGAATAAGAAAATGTGAAGTTGAGACAATAAGATAGAAACTTCACTAATCTAAGGCAATAAACAACAAAATAGTCTTCTCAATAAAATCTTGGAATACCGTATGACTTGACTAACTAAACCCAACCGCAATGATGATAGCTCCATCGGGAAAACAATCTGGCTTTGCCAAAAGAGGGAATATTAATCATTAAACCAGTCTCCTTTTTTTGTACAATCTACAATTATAATTTATTGGGACAAACCACTTGCCTAGTGGGAGAAAGAGATAAGGAAGGGGAACTCGAGCTGACTGGAATCAGGATTGCATGAGCTATGCCAAGTTTGTAGACAGGAAAATGAACATGTCTATGATTTCCCTTCTTTCTCGCACCTCCTGGTGTGCAAAATGGCTCTGTCTTGGGATTGATCCATTTACGAATCATTTTTAGCATGTTGTCCCACTTGCTAGCATTAACCACCTGATCCCTCAAACTTGAGCTCTTGTCAGGGCACAGAGTTGGGGGTACTGTCAGACAAGCTTTGGAGGAGCCCCCTGGAAAGTGTGGGAATGGGAGTGCTCCAGGAGAGCTGTTTTCTGCTGCAGCTCCTGCGTGAACCATGAGTGCACTCCTGTCGTGTGATGGGGGTCTGAGCTGGCAGGTTGGACTTGAGTGGATAAGATCTGCATGCATCCCCCCCAAAAGATTAACTGGGAGGTGGTTTTAGACTGGCGACACTGATAGACTATTTTTTGTCAAGCTATTTGCATCTCATTGACAGTTTCTGGGATGTTTTTCTTCCATCCACTTTTAAATTGAAGTATTTTGTAAGAATGGAACTTAACTAACCTCTCAATTAGAACATAGCTTCTGGCGGTTTCATTTCAAACAACTAATGATAAAAACAGTGAATTATGGTGTCCTAAAGTCTTTGCCACTAGAACAAAGCAAAGATGCTTCCTTCTCCTTCAGATGCCAATAATCTCTTGGGATGAGTTTGTGTAATAGTAAAGATAAAAGAAAAACCACTGAGGAATAGTTTCACTGACCAATATATATTACTTCCATCTGGCTTAATTTGGAACATGAATCCATGTGCCACAGTTCTAAATTACACTTTTAATATTATAACACTGTTTCTGAAAATCAGTCTCAAAGTAGATAATGAGACTGGCAACGTGTAGTTTGTTGGAAAAAAAAAGAAACAAGAGCCATGTCTAATATATATAGAACTTGGGCTCAGATTTGTCTTTTTGGAGTCTGGAGAGAGTATAAAACTCTCAAGGAATGAGAGATTTTTGGCAGAGCACAAAGCACATTTTTCATTCCCACACAGATGTTTTTAGGGTTCTCAGTTAGCATTGAAAGAGAAAGCTCCTGTTTCCTGTTTGGCCAGCCCCAAAGCTTTTTAAAAAATTGCTTTCCAGATATTTTTGAGTAAACCAAAAATATCATCCACTTAGCATCTGATTTATAGACCGTTAAAGATTTTCTTCCCTTTAATTAAAAGACCAGTTTTGATGACATCTGTCTGGAACTTCCCAAATGCCCATACTGCTCTTTTTTATTTAAAATTTTGCTTTGGGATACTAATTGCTATTCATGAAGTAGTTTTACATATATTTCTTTTTTTTATTGAGATATAATTGACATAGAGCTTTATATCAGCTTCAGGTGTACAACAGATTGATTCAATATTTGTATGTATTGCGAAATGATCGTATATTTCTGATATAAAAAATCACTTCATTTAGGTGGTTATGTAGTCAGTTATTGTCAATCAACAGGTGAGGAAGATGCTCTGGAGAAGAGCATAAGTGGGCTCTCTCCAGGGTCATTTCAGTCTCCCATCAGATTCTCTTCTTTGAGTACCACACCAATTTCCCCATCTTCCTGCTGGTTTTCAGATGGATGCAAAGAGGATTCATCCACACCCACTGGGTGCTGTGAGGGCAGAAAGTGCCTCCTCTACTTGGCATTTAGGCAATTCCCTTGACTTTGTCTCTCCACCAAAAGTCTCGCCTTTCTTAGCTCTGCCACCAACAACACCTCCATCTGTAGCTTTTGATGGCTCTTAAAAACAAGCACCAAGAAGATGCTATAGTAAGACAGCTTCCTGAGATGATACATCTCCATCAAGGGCCTTGGGGGGATTTATTTAGGTGTGGAAAGAGTTCATGTTCCTCTGTACTCAACCATCTTCCTTCCCTTCACCTTCTCCACCTTGGTGTCCACCATTATAGTTGAATGCCAAGTTGGAAGTGAGAATTTTTGGCTACAAAGACAGGAGAGGAAGCCCTGGTGAGCATCGCACACCCTTAGGCTAAAATGTCCTGAGGAAGAGCAAACTCTTTCTGACCCATTTTAGAAGTTGAGCCTCTGACCCCCATCTCCTCCATCTCAAGATCTGCCTCCTCCTTCTGGCTTCTCTACTCTTCTTTCCCTTTGGCGTCTTCTCAGGTGATCTTATTAATTCCCAGGGCTTTGCTCCATTAGTCAGTTGGCCAAGGTCTCCTGAATGTGCACATCTTGGGTCTCTGTCTCAGTCCTGAGTACCACCCTCACCTTGGATTCTCACAAACACCTTCAAGATCACAAGACAAATATAACCTTGAATGATTTCCCCCACACCCATCGTTCTCCATCTCAGCCAATGGCACAATCCACCCATTTACTCACATCCAGGTAGAAGTTGTTCCTGTGATCTTTTCCTTGTTTGCAATTCCATCACTCAGTAAAGCCTGTTGGCTCTTCCTCCAAGCACCTCTGGAAGCTCTCCATGTACTTTTATCTCCACTGTCTCTACCTTAGCTAGGGACACCAGCACCTCCTTGGGATTCACTCCATCTCCTGTTTCCTCTCTTATCCATCTCCAACCCATTCTCCATGTAGTGGCCAGCATTGTTGTTTTAACACATAACTTAGTTCATGTCACTCCCCTCCTTAAAACCCTCAAGGGCTTCCCATTGAATCTGGAACCAAAAAGAGCCACACTCCTTCCCATGTCCTCCCAGCTTCTAGATTACCTGGTGCCTGCCAAGCATGCCTACCTCACATGAGACCATTCCCCACCTTACTTACTGTTTCTAGACAAACCTCAAGCTCCAAAAAATGGAAAAGAGTTTAAATGTTGCCATAAATTCCCATTTCCCAGACAGATTTAATTGTAGATTCCTAAATAATGATAGATGAATGAGGCAGCACATCAGCCCACAGGCTATTCCATCTTTGGTTGGAGCAGGATTTCTGAACGTCAGCATAATTGACATTTGGGACACAATTTCCATTTTGGACAGGATAATTCCTTGTTGTGGGGGTTGTCCTGTTCTTTGAAAGATGTTCAGCAGCATTCTTGAGCAGCAGAGAATGCCATGTCATCCAGAAGAGAGATGCTCTGTATAATCATCCATTGACTACATGACAACTCAAAATGATGAATAGAAGATAGGGTTATGTTTTGCTATATTTTCCCCTTGCACCATTTTGAATCCCTGCAGCATTATCCTAATAAGATGGGATGCATTTCATTCCATCACCTTTTCCCACTAGATGCCAGTAATACGCTCCCCCTTAGTTGTGGTCACCCAAAATGACCCCAGATATTGCCAAATGTCTCCTAGAGGCAAAATCACCCCGTTCAAGACCACTACTGTAGATAGATAGATGATAGGTAGATAAATGATAGGTAGATGATAGATACCTGATAGATGCATGATAGATAGAAGATAGAGGATACATGATTGATAGATGATAGGTAGATAGAGAGATAGATAGATAGATAGATAGACAGACAGATAATAGATAGGTAGGTAGATAGACAAACCAACAGACAGAATCTCTCATGCTAAGGCAGTTTCCAAAACTCGGCACTCTTGATATTTGGGGCTGGATAATTCTTTGTGGTGGGGGCTGTCCTGCACACTGTAGGATGTTCAGCAGCATCCCTGGTCTCCAACCATTAGATGCTAGTAACACTCTCCTACCCATTTGTGACATTCAAAAATGTCTGCAGACATTGTCCAGTACCCATGGCGGGCTATCTGTTAACTCTCTAAGATGTTTGCTGTTTGCCTTAGAGTTAGGGATCATGTGCCATCTTTGTGTCCCTTGGACTTGCTGAAGAAGTCCTGCTCTTGCCTCTGCTTTAGGGCACTTTCACTTGATTTGTTCTCTGCTGAGTCCTCTAATCAGTGTTTCCTAACTATGCCAATTCTTCTTAGTATTTTATCTCTTGTCACTGTTAAATAGAGCAGAGTAAGCCGACAAGACACTGGAGCAAAGCATTAAAGAGGAGGAGCAGGGAATGCCATGTCATCCAGAAGAGAGACACTCTATATAATCATCCATTGACGACACGACTCAAAATGATGAACAGGACATAGGATTATGTTCTACCATATTTTTCCCATGCACCATTTTGAATCCCTCTAGCATTATTCTAATAAGATGGGATGCATTTCATTCCATCCCGTGTTTTCTTTGCACAAGTTGGTCTTATAAAAGAATGCAATGATTAAAGTTGTTCTTCCAAGAGCTTGAAGCAACCAAGGTGAGTGGTTTGGGTGTTGGAGATTATTTTTCCCACACTCAAGAATTTAGAGTTGAAAGGTGCTTCCTAAGACTGGCTCTTAGGGGAGGAATTACCCAGATGTTGGCTTGGAGGTTGGGGTCTGGGTTTCGGCACACGTGTGTTTATAAGGAAGTTATACTTGGCTAGCACATGATGCATTTAGCTATAAGGTTGTCACCTGCATTTTCTACACATCTATTATCTTCTCTTTTTTTTGGTGAGGAAGATTTGCTCTGAGCTAACGTCTGTTGCCAATCTTCCTCTTTTTATTTTTTGCTTGAGGAAGGTTGGCCCTGAGCTAACATCTGTGCCAATCTTCCTGTTCTGTATGTGGGTCACTGCCACAGCGTGGCTCGACAAGTGGTGTAGATCGATGCCTGAGATCTGAACTGACAGGACCCCAAAGCAGAGCATGTTGGATTTAACCACTATGCCATGGGGCCGAGCCCTCTATTTCCTTTTATTTAGGTACTAAGGAGAAGCAATAAACAGTGTGAAGCTAAATGCATTATATTTCAGCTGACATGAGGTCACAGTCCTCCAACAGAGCAAGGCACAGATTCTCCCTTGTTTTATAATCCGTTCTCCATGGATTAACATTGAGGATTCCCTTGTGCTGTGAATAACGAAGCAATGAGGAATTTCCAGATTGGTCAAGGAAGCATCTTTGCCAATGTATATGCAAAAACCAAGACCAAAAAGCACCAAAATGTTTACAGATAACTTAGATAATCCATTGGAAATGACAACTTGTCCCTGTGAAATAAGAATCCATGTTTGGCTGTCAGCATTTTCACTTGGTCCTTTAGACCAGAGGACTCTCCCTCTCTTGTTATATGCAAAGCTCCCTCTGATGTTGTGTGTTTCTTTTCATTCATGCTGGCCACGTGTCATTCATCATTACTGCAACTTCAGAGTGAAATTTCCAACAAGGCCGATTGGACCAGCTTCCTTTAGAATTCTAACTCCTCCTAGTTTCCCTAAAAAGGCCTCTAATTACACTAGGATATTCCAAGTCAAAAGGCCCAGCCAATATTCCTTAATTGAATGAAAGCTAATAAAAAGGGTCAGTTTTCTTTTGACCCTAGAAATGAACAAGGGCACAAAGAGATGAATGTGCTTTGGGACTGACACCAATCCGACCTCAGAACCAACATTTTGCTAAGTGGGTCCTGGGCTGGCTGGGGAATCTTTCCCAGATGGGATTTATGTATTCACCATTTCTTTTTCTAATTATTATTTTTTTTTTAGATTTAATAGTATACAGGCTTTGTCAAAAACCTCATTTGCGGGACTGACCAAGTTGGAACTGCTTATGATTCATGGCAACAACATCCCCAGCATCCCTGATGGGGCTTTAAGAGACCTCAGCTCTCTACAGGTAAACCCTGGCATTTATGAGCATCACTAATTGCAGCTTCTACCACCAGTAATGAATAGTAGAGGTGATATAATGCTCCCTAATGATTAATAAAATTGCCATGTTGTTTTTACTTTGAAAACAAGCTTAATGTCATTACGCTCCTGCCCTTTGTTCTGTTTTTCCCTGGTTGTGGCTTTTTAAATTATAAACAGGATTTTCCAAACTTCTGTCTTTGCAGGTTTTCAAGTTCAGCTACAACAAGCTTCGAGTAATCACAGGACAGACGCTGCAGGGGCTCTGGAGCCTAATGAGGCTACACATTGACCATAACAAGATCGAGTTTATCCACCCACAAGCTTTCAATGGCTTAACATCACTAAGGCTGCTCCATTTAGAAGGAAACCTGCTCCACCAGCTACACCCCGGCACGTTCTCCACATTCACCTTCCTGGATTATTTCAGACTGTCCACTATAAGACACCTCTACTTAGCAGAGAACATGATTAGAACTCTTCCCACGGGGATGCTCCAGAACATGCCACTTCTGGAGAATCTTTACCTGCATGGGAATCCGTGGTCCTGTGATTGTGACATGAGATGGTTTCTAGAATGGGATGCGAAATCCAAAGGTGAGATGAGAGGAGAGCTGACGTGTCCTCTAGCTACACGTTCCTTATCTCCGTGATTCAAATGCATTTTTATTTTTTAGTAAAATTTAAAGTAATAATCATTTAATTGGTTATGTACAGTTGACTGTGGTGGTCGTGGAAGGGATATCTGGAGTGTCATGTTCAACCTTGGGCTGCAGCTAAATGTGGAATTTTCTGTGCATCCACATCCTATGAGGAAGTATTCAAGGATGCTTGGAAAAAATGAGACGGGAGGTGGCTATGAGATCATTCTCTTATGGATTGGGGAGAGAGACATTCTGCATTGACCCAGAGCACCAAAGAACAGGACCAATGCGTAGAAGTTGTAAGAAAGTAGATTTGATTCAAAATAAGGAAGACTTTTTCCTTTCTTTTTCTTTCTTTACCCGCTTCTCCAAGCCCCATCTTGGAATCCATCCTCAGATCTCATTGAGTTTACCATATCTTGGGTCTCCGTGCTCTTCTCCATCCTCACAGCCACCAGCCTTACGAGGAGTTCCTACACAATGATGCTTCCACCTATGACCCACCCTCCTGCAACGAGCTGGCCCCAGCGTTCCCCTCATGTGCTCAGTTCTGGCCACACTGCTCTCCTTTCTGTTCCTTGCACTTTCCAACTCAATGGCGTCAGACTTGCTCAACCTTCCTGCCAAGAATACTTTCCTGCTAGATGTTCAAGGGGCTGGCCTCTTCTCAGCATTCAGGTCTCTGTTAAAAGATCACCTCCTCTGAGAGGTCTTGCTGTCCTCAATTTCTACTTAGCCTCTTAAGCCTGTGTCCATCTAGGAACGTCCAGCACACCCACCTTATGTCACAATTTGATGGGAGTGCTTTCAGCTGCCAGGCTGCTTTCCTCCATGGATTCATTGAAGGACCCAGGTGCTTCCATCTGTGGCTCCATCTTAAATTTGGCATCAGATTTGCTTAATCAGGCAATGGATGAGTAAAGACAGATGTATACTCACTTCTTAATAGTCTTAGCTAGACAACACACTTGTCGCCTCCATTCATATTGCATTGGTGGGAACTAGTTCCCAAACCCCTCTGGGTGCAAGAGGGGCTGAAAATCCATTTAGATAGTCATTTCCAAGGAGTAAGGCTACACCATGGAAATGAAACCATAAAGCTTGGGCAGAGAGCCATCTTCGATATTCTGGACATACATGTGTGTGTCTTTGTGTGTGCGTGTGCATACATGTTTGTCTGGTGTATGTGTACATTTGTGTGTATGTGTTGGGGGAGGTATGTGAAACAATCATATTTGCATTTTGAGGTGTTTACTCTTAAATTCACATGGAGAAGTGTGTTCATGGAAGCAAAAGGAATTATAGTGAAACCAATTAGGAAGTTTATAATACTCCAAGTCATAGATGATGGCGCTTTGACTGGTGTATTCTCAGCGGGAATAGGAAGAAGTGGGAAGATGCCAAGAGGGCTGTCAAAAAGCATTCCTAGTCTTCTAGTTTCCCCAACAAGAGAGATTATGGTACCACTGAATGATATAGAAAAGGCATGAGGATCTAGGTTTTGAGCAGGGAGAAAACATAATTTGGTTCTGTCGATGTCAGTTCAAGGAGCCTTCGTGACCTCTAAATAGACATGTCAAGTAGGGAAGTGAGTGTGGAACTCCTAAGGGTTTGCTTGGACTGCAGAAGCACATATGGGAGTCATCACTGGCTAATGCATGGTAATGGAAACCATGCATGTGGGCGAGGACTCTGATGGGGCAGAGCAAGAAGGAAAAAGACTTAGACCAAGTCAAAGAATGCTCCATCACTAACGAGTTGGGCAGAGAAGGAGGAAACAGTGAAATAGACTGAGCGGTGGCCAGAAAAAGAGAAAATTCTGGAGGATTTGATGTCCAGGAAGCCAAGAACAGAATATGAATCCAAAAAGTAAACACTGCCTGAAATGAAAAATTACAGCAAGAGAAAAAAATGATAAGAGGTAGATAATGTGATTCATCTCAAAAGATGATCCTTTTATCCAGAAATATTTTCATGAGTTGCAATTATTTATGTAGATTCTTCTGGACCTTTATTGAAGGAAAATTGTACAGGGTATGTGATAGAGTTTTTTAACTTAGAAACATTTTTAAAAAGTACTTATTATCCATTGTCAAGTGGTTATAAAGTGCAGGTTAGTTACCACACACTGTGCTGAATTGATTTAAGGTTATAAGTGTTGCCACAGAGGCAAAGTGAGTGAGGTATTAAAAGCATTACAGAAACACGCCCAGGTGATAAAGATGTAAACAAAAGCTTTACCCTCTGGCCATGTGTAAGGCTTGCCATTCTTTGGTTCATTAACTTACAGCATGTTTCTTTGATTATTTGTCTTAGGGATTCTGAAGTGTAAGAAAGACAAAGCCTACGAAGGTGGTCAGTTATGTGCCATGTGCTCCAGTCCCAAGAAGATGTACAAACAAGAGATTCACAAACTGAAGGACATCACTTGTCAGAAGCCTTCCATAGAGTCCCCTCTGAGACAGAACAGGAGTCTTGAGGAAGAGCAGGACCAAGAGGAGGACAGCGACAGCCAGCTCTCCCTGGAAGGGTTCCAATTCCCCCCATGGAACATCTCTTTGAACATGACTGATGAGCACCAGAACACAGTGAACTTGGTTTGTGACATCAGGAAGCCAATGGATGTGTACAAAATTCACCTGAACCAAACGGATCCTCAAGAGATTGAGATAAATGCAACAGTTGCCTTGGACTTTGAGTGTCCGATGACCCGGGAAAACTATGAAAAGCTGTGGAAACTGATCGCCTATTATAGTGAGGTTCCTGTTAAGCTGCACCGAGAACTCACGCTCGGCACAGATCCCAAAGTCAGCTACCAATACAGGCAAGATGCTGATGATGATGCTCTTTACTACACTGGCGTCAGAGCCCATATTCTTGCAGAACCAGAATGGGTCATGCAGCCGTCCATAGATATCCAGCTGAACCGACGTCAGAGTACGGCCAAAAAGGTGTTCCTCTCCTATTCTTCCCACTATTCTTTAACAATGGCTGCCAAAGATGCAAGGCAGTCTCGGAGCAGAAGCTGGGTGATGATCGAGCCGAGCGGAGCCGTGCAAAGAGCTCAGACTGTCTTGGAAGGGAGTCCGTGCCAGCTGAGCTGCAACGTAAAGGCTTCTGAGAGTCCATCCATATTCTGGGTGCTCCCCGATGGCTCTGTCCTGAAAGCACCCATGGAGGACCAGGACAGCAAGTTCTCCATCCTCACCAGTGGCTGGCTGAAGATCAAGTCAACAGATCAGTTGGACTCTGGTTTGTACCAGTGCATTGCTCAGGTGAGGGATGAAATGGACCAAATGGTGTACAGGGTTCTCGTGCAGCCACCTGCCACTCAGCCACCTGATAGCCATACAGTAACTATTCAGAAGAACCCAGGGGAATCAGTGATGTTGCCTTGCACTGCACTGGCAATACCTGAAGCCCGGCTTAGCTGGATTCTTCCAAACAAAAGGATAATTAATGATTTGGCTAACACATCAGATGCGTACATGTTGGCAAATGGAACTCTTTCCATCCCAAAGGTCCAGGTCAGTGACAGTGGTCACTACAGATGTGTGGCCGTCAACCAGCAAGGGGTAGATCATTTCACTGTGGGAGTCACAGTGAGTAAGAAAGGATCTGGCAGGTCATCAAAAAGAGGCAGACGCCCAGGTGGGAAGGCTCGTTCCAGAGGGAGAGGAGATGTCGTGGAGGACGAAGGGGGCTCAGGCATGGGAGATGAAGATAACACTTCCAGGACAGTCCTACATCCAAAGGACCAAGAGATGTACATCAAAACAAAGGATGATGCCACCACTGGAGGTAAGAAAACTAAGAAAGGGAGAAGAAAACTGAAACTCTGGAAGAATTCTGAAAAGGAACCAGAGACAAACATCGCAGAGGGTCGCAGAGTGTTCGAGTCCAGACGAAGGATCAATATGGCTAGCAAACAAATTAATCCAGAGCACTGGGCAGATATTTTAGCCAGAGTGCGTGGGAAAAACCTCCCTAAGGGAACAGAAGTCCCCCGGGGCGTTAAAACCACCACTCCTCCATCAGTGAGTCCAGAAGAAACACCTCTTTTGCCTGTTCTTCCTCCCCCCTCAATATGGCCTGTGCAGACCACAACCAGTGCTGAAGAATCCTCAGCAGATATGTCTTTACTGGGTGAGGAAGAGCTGGTTTCCAGTACCGTTTCCTCAACCGAGATGCCACTAGAACATGGCCACGATGGAGTAATTCTTACTGAACCCAAAGTGACAAGCATGCACCTGGAGGAACTCACTGATGATGAATTTTCTGAGAAGACTGACGACACGTTTCCGACCGACATTGGCTCAAACTGGGCTACAGCCACTACACTGATATCTGCGCCTTACGAATCTTCTCCTACTCCACAGACCCTGGACACAGTCTATGAAGAGCCCACCAATGAAAACACAGCCACAGAGGGCTGGTCTACCCCAGATGTTGGAGCCATGTCAGAGCCTACATCAAATGAGTATGAGTCTCCGTTAGATGCCACCTCCTTAGCTGAGTCTGAGACTGTGCCATACGTGTACCCAGACTGGGAGACTAATTCACGACCTAATGAAGATAAGATGAATGAACTGACCTCCACACACTTGACTCCAACCCCTACCATGTGGGTTGCTGACTCTAAGACATCTGAGCCATTTGAAGACCTCATTTTAGAAGAACCAGGTGTCCCCACACAAGTCCCTCTACAGGAACAAACAGACAACTCCCAGCTTGTGAAAGGTAGTTTAGGCACTCAAGGCAATTCACTGATTAAAAAGAGCACAGAGGAGAATTTTCAGATACAATGGGAAGGAGATATGCTAGAGAGAGACCCCACAAACTCCAGAAGTCCTGAGAGTAAGAGACAGGGCATCGAATTCACCACTCTGCGTGACTCCACACCGGGAGTGACAGACAGCAAAGCTCTCTTCAAGCATCCTGGGGAAACCACACTTGGCTCTCTGTTTGACAAGGATACCTCCACAGTAGCAGTGATGATGCCAACCCAAAAGCCCACTTCACCATCAGTGCTGACCACTCACCCTTCTCGAAAGAGACAGAAGGGAAGGAAAAGATTACACCCCAACAGATTCCGACACCGGCATAAACAAACTCTGCCCACAACTCCCGCCCCAACGGAGACTTTCTTGACTCGACCAACTCAAGTACCTGAGGTGAAGATTCCATACCAAGTGGAGAGTTTGCTGGTTCCCACGTCTTGGGTTGATAGCACAGTTGGCACCCCAAAGCAGGTGGAAATGGGGAAGGATGCAGAACCAGTATCCAAAGGACCATCACGAAGGAAACATGGGAAGAGGCCAAATAAACATCGGTCTTCTACTTCTACGGTGAGGTCTCAACCTTCTGTGTCCAATTCCAATCCTTCTCCAGAAAGTCAACATAACAACGTTGTTAACCCCAGTACGGACACCGTACTTTTATCTACAATGGCTTCTCTGAGAACTGGGGCCCCACGTGAGATAACTAGAAAGGAAGATTATATAACAAGCACAAAAGTACATTTATCTCATGATAAATTGCAAGAGACAATTCCAGTCACATATAAACCCGTGTTAGGTGAAAATGAAAGTAAGAATGATGGTGTCACCAACATCAATGACCATACCACTGACAGTTTAGTCCCTGGTAAGTTCGTCACTGATGCTGTATCACCTTCTGGCTTCAAGGTCTCCACTGTGGGAGAATTTCAGGGAGAATTCTCTCCTTCCCGCTCTCCAGGAACGCCAAGCTGGAATCCCCCAAAGGCAGCCCAGCCTAGAGGGCTGCAGACAGACACACCTGTCACCAGCTCTTGGGAAACATTTACAGACACACCTTTTTTTAAAGAGTCAGAGGATCCAGATTTTCCTTCCGAGTTTTCACCTTCTGTTGCAGTCTCGACACTATTTCAGGTTGCGTCAACTACTCTCTCTAGCATGAAAGCAGAGTCGTCTTCAAGGAAGGCAGAAACCACCATCGGTGGTCAGGATCATCAGGAAACCAGTCCAGCTGAAATTGGACCACAGAATATCATCTCTACTCCTGCCCCCAGGAAGGAGCCAGCATCCTCAGTCCCCCCCACGACTCTCGTGTCTTTGGCAGAAACCACCACGAAGCCCATGCCTCTTACTTCAAGAACATCCCCAACATCAACAGGTTCCAAGGAAAAAATTTTCTTGAATTATGTGGGGATCTCGGAAACCAAAACACCCCCAGTGAATAATGAGGGAACTCAGCATATATGGAGGCCTAATGAATTATCCACCCCATCTTCCAACCAGGACCAATTTAACTTAACTCCCAAGCAGGAGTTAGAAAAGGAAGCATTTGATAGGAGGACCAAGGACATTCTTCCTCGCGGCCCAGATAGTCAGCATCAGGATGGGAGAGTCCAAGTTTTCCGTCAACCAGCCAGAGTTCCTGCCAAACCTATCCCACCAAGAGGGACAGTGAGGCCACCATATGTGGCCACACAAGCCTCCTCTGGATACATTGTAACTGTCCAGCCCCCTCGTCACTTCACCAACAAACCAGAAATAATTGCCTATCCTTCAAGGGTTTTGCCAAAGAATAAACACTTTACGACCCCAACGTTATCAAGTACAACAACCCCTGTTGTTCCATGGCACAGGCCCAAACCTGGCATTCCTAGTAAGTTAACCGACCAAGGAACTGACCGATTTAACGGCAACTCCAAAGTCGTTGGAAATAACAACATCCTTGATCTCAGAGACTCTGTTGGCAAGCCTCCAAGTTCAAGAGTTCCTCATTATCCCCATGGAAGATTCCCTTTCTTTTTCAACAAAACTCTTTCTTTCCCACAATTTGGAGTTACTCTGAAGCCCCAGATACCCACTTCTCCTGCCCCAGTGATGAGAGAGAGAAAAGTCAACCCAGCTCCCTACAATAGGATACATTCTCAGAGCATCATCCACGTGGACTTTGGACCCCCCGCCCCTCCATTATTGCACCCTCCCCGGACCACGGCACCACCCTCCATGAACTTACAGAACATCCCTCTGGTCTACTCCACCCGGAGCTCCATCCCCATCGTGACATCTTCTGGCCAGCCCTCCAGAAGCTTTCATCAGAGTAGCTCAAAGCTCTTCTCTCCTGTAGGACCACCTGCATCCAAATTCTGGACGCTTGGGGAAAAGCCCCAAATTATCACCAAATTCCCTCAGACTGTGTCCATCACTGCAGAGACAGATGCTATGATCCCATGTGAGGCAACAGGGAAACCCAAGCCTTTCATTACCTGGACAAAAGTTTCCACAGGTAGGGCGCTTAAGCATCTGTGTTTTAACTGGGGCTTGTGTAGGAGGAGGTTGACTGAGTCTGTGGCCCCGGGCAGAACCAGAGATTCTGGGAAAAGGCCAAGTTCATGGGATGGGAAAGAACTCCTGAAAACTTAGATACAAGCACGTTCCTTTATAGGGACAGGAAATAAGGACCTAGAATAGATGTACGATTTTAATGGGGCCATGGAAACATGTCACAGGCTCTTTGGATAGGGAACAACCTAGGCTTAGGAATATATCAGCTTCTTATCTTCTTCTAGTGAGGTCCAGTGCAAAAGTCTTCCACACTCCTGTTGGCAGGGAGTGGGGCTGAGGGGAATTGTGCAAATTCCCCTTGTCCTTCCACTGGCTTGAAAGGTAACTGCAGCCTTGTCTGAGCCCATCAGGGATTTCTTTGATTTCAACCTAGAGACACAGTTGTTTTCATTTGCTTAGGCTGCCATAGCAAAGGACCACACGCTGGGTGCCTTAAACCTCAAACATTGATGGTCTCACAGTCCTGGAGGCGGGAAGTCCGAGATGAAGGTGTGGGCAGGGCTGGTTCCTCCTGAGGCCTCTCTCCTTGGCATGTGGACACCATCTTCTCCCCGTGTCCTCACATGGTCGTCCCTCTGTCCCTCTGTGTGTCTGTGTCCTCATCTTCTCTTCTTATAAGGACACCAGTCCTCTTGGATCAGGACCCACCCTAATGACCTCATTTTACCTTAATCCCCTCTTTAAAGACCCATCTCCAAATACAGTCACCTTCTGAGGTCCTGGGAATTAAGACTTCAACATGTGAATTTTGGGGGTGATACAACTCAGCCCATGCAATAGTCTATACATTGGTCTATATTTGGAATCCTGGGAAGCTCAGAGAGCACTCAAATTCATAAACATGACCATCTCCTTTGTTTGAGTGGCAAAACAATTTCTAGGTGACAGAAGAAAGAAAAATCTAAAAAGCTACAACCTCTCCACAAAAGAAAGGCTCTCCCTGCTCCTCCTTCTCTTTACTTCCCTCTCAACACAGCTGGATCCTTCAGGCCTGGATTCTGACCTGAGGGTTTTTTTTTTTCCATTTGGTCTCCCTTTTGGTAATACAGGAATGATTTATGCTGATAGCCCTTGGGAGAGCTGGGCATTGTTTGCTCAGGTTTATCTCACAAATGTTGGATGTGTTCCAAAGGTTAGCAGAGGCTCTGAGTATAGCGAAATGACTGACTTCTTTGATCTGTAACCATCTGATGTCAGATGTTTCTGTAATGATTTAATAAGGAATTTTGCTTCAAGTAACAAGTGGAGAAGACCACAGGGTTTTCATTCTAAAAGTATCGTGCCTTTGAAGGAAAGCACATTCCTCTACTGGGAAATCCCATTTATATTCATCCTTAGGGTCTTCCACACCTTGTGCCCTTTCTGAGCATCGCTGGACCACAGCCCCTCACTAGACATTCATGCAAATTCTCCTACATTGTCAAGACTCAGCTTCTACTCCCGGCTGTAGCAGAAGAGCTTGTCAGAACTAAATGAGTAGCCCGTGATGGAAGCACGGACCAAGAAATCCAGTATGCGGGAGCAGAAGGGAGGACTCAAAATCAGGGTTTTCCAGTTTTTAAATATAGGATTTATTGTTCAGGTATGGTGAGGCCAACAGATCAGGAGATGACTGCCATTGAAAACATAGTTTTCTCCTCACAGTTCCCAAGAGGACGGGGCATGCTATGCCATACAGGGCCACACGGGGAGGCAGCAGGGCTGGTCAGGAGGCAGAGTCGGAGAGACAGGAAAATGTGGACAAGAACCTTTATTGTAGTTTCTGCAGGAAGGAATAGGCGAGGCAGAGTAGCTGTAGGACTGGCTGAGTTGAATAATATCAGTGGCCTGTGAGGCATAGGGACTGTCCCTAGTTGTCTGGTACCTGGTCCTGGGGAGAGGACAGGAGGCAGATGGTGGTGTGCACTGTGAGAGCACCATAGTGTAGGTGGCTGGAAGTGCGGGCTCTGGATTGGTCGGTTTGTGTTTGCAAGGTGCATCCTTTGCTCTCTCTAGGAATTGGCTATCCCTGGGAGGGCCAGTCCCTCCAGGGTCAGCAAGACCCAAGATGTCAAAGTATCAGAAACTCTTGGTTAATACAATCCCTGACTGTGGCAGAGCCCCTAGAAGGCAAGATAGAAAACATTGGTGGTATAGAGAGTGGGAAGAAAGAGGGGCACATGCCCCCTGGCTGTAGTGGTGGGGATGTCAAGTGCTGTTTGGAAAAATGACTTAGTGCTCAGTTCATCCAGACTGGGCAGAGAATGACCCGCTCAATCTAGTTGTCTTGTTGGACTCAAGAGGCTGTCTGGGCAGAGGTGGATGGTGACTGCAAGCTTGGGGTGTCCCTGCAACCAACTTGGAGACCTCAGGAGGTCAACCTGCACCAGTGAGGCAGGGGCTGACCCAATGGGGGCTGCGTCTACAGTAACTGAAGTGAACGAGGAGGCCAGCTTGAGAGGGCCTGGGGCTCATGAGGGCTTCCAGAACCTTCCATGAAACCCATGGTGGCTGCCCTTTGCTTGAAGGTGGCGTACGCCCTGATTCTGGGATTGATGTAAGAGTCAAGAAGGGCGAAAAAAATGTTCTCTCTTCCCCACATTGGAGGTGGAGGTGGTTGGGGGGCAAGTCTTTGCTTTTGCTGTTTAGGACACAAAGAGGAGAACTGATTACTTAACTAACAATCCTTGTTTGGGCCTATGGAAAGGGCACATTTAGGTTGAACCTGATGGTACGTATTTTCGATTTCCAGGAGCTATTATGACCCCGAACACCAGAGTACAACGGTTCGAAGTCCTCAAGAATGGCACCTTCGTCATCCGGAAGGTACAGGTGCAGGACCGTGGCCAGTACATGTGCACAGCCAAAAACTTGCACGGTGTGGACAGGATGGTGGTCCTGCTGTCTGTCACCGTGCAGCAGCCCCAAATCCTAGCCTCCCACTACCAGGACGTCACCGTCTACCTGGGAGACACAATTGCCATGGAGTGTCTAGCCAAGGGCACCCCAGCCCCCCAAATCTCCTGGATTTTCCCTGACGGGAGGGTGTGGCAGACCGTGTCCCCAGTGGAGGGTAGGGTCACACTTCACGAAAACCGCACCCTGTCCATCAAAGAGGCTTCCTTCTCAGACAGAGGTGTCTACAAGTGCGTGGCCAGCAACCCAGCCGGGGCGGACAGCCTGGCCATTCGCCTCCACGTGGCCGCCCTGCCTCCGGTCATCCACCAGGAGAAGACGGAGAACATCTCGCTGCCCCCAGGGCTCAGCATCCACATCCACTGCACAGCCAAGGCCGCGCCCCTGCCCAGCGTGCGCTGGGTGCTCAGGGATGGGACCCAGATCCGCCCTTCGCAGTTCATCAACGGGAACTTGTTTGTCTTCCCCAACGGGACGCTCTACATCCGCAACCTGGCGCCCAAGGACAGCGGGCGCTACGAGTGTGTGGCTGCCAACCTGGTGGGCTCGGCGCGCAGGACGGTCCAGCTGACCGTGCAGCGCGCGGCGGCCAATGCTCGCATCACCGGGACCTCTCCGCAGAGGACCGACGTCCGCTACGGCGGGACCCTCCGGCTGGACTGCAGCGCCTCGGGGGACCCCTGGCCACGCATCCTCTGGAGACTCCCGTCCAAGAGGATGATCGACGCACTCTTCAGGTATGTGGTGCTCCTGCTTCGCCATCAACCACTGGGCTCCTGCCACCGCCTCCCCTTTGGATGCTGGGAACAGTGTCTTGGGACATCTCTTCATGGAGTGTCCTTGTCTGGGATGAAGATGCACAGACATGCTCCTTATGTGCAGAGGCCAGGGGACACTTTTTCACACAATGCAATCTTGTCTTTATAAATGGGATCCAGAACAAACACCTAGCCTTTCCTCTTCTCCACCCTTCTCTCTCCTACAAAAGAAAAAAAACCAAATAACTTTTGTTTTAATGATTATCTTTGTAATTGTGTTTTAAACGATAGTATTAGATAAAGCAATTTAGGCTGCTTTCTATTTCTACTATCTAATGCCAACAAAACACACAGACGCTTCATACTTTGTTTTTAAGTGGCATTAGTGAGAGAGTGAAAGGACGTAAAACAAAAAATGTCAAGACATTATTTCAGCCTGAGGGTGGCATATGGGGAATTCTAAAAATGCGTTTTGGCTAGGAAGAAAGTCACCTTCTATTCCAGTGACTTCAATTCCCAGGTATGGGGGGGGGGAGGGTGATTTTGCCCCCAGGGTACATTTGGCAATGTTTGCAGACATTTTTAGTTGACGTGACTCTGGGAACAGGGGTTCCTACTGGCATCTAGTAGGTGGAGACCAGGGATGCTGCTCAACTCCCTACAATGAACAAGACAGCCCCACCGCACAGAGCGCTCTTGCTCAAATGTCAGTAGGAGTGAGGTTGAGACGCCCTCTCTTAGCATGAAGGACTATCATCTGTCTGTCATCTATCTATCTCTGATCTATCTATCTATCTATCTATATATCTGTGTTTCTATCTATATATCTATGTGTCTATCTATCTATCTATCATGTTTATATCTATCATTGATCTATCTGTTTTTATCTATAAACTATCTTTATCTATCTGTCTATCCAAGACAGTAGTTCTTAACTAGAAGATTGTGTTCCCAAGGGACACTCATCAATGTCTGAAGACATTTTTGGTTGGCACAACTGGGGGAGGGGGGTTGCTACTGCCTCATGGGTGGAGACCAGAGATGCTGCTCAATACCCTACAGCACACAGCACAGTCCCCACCACAGAGAATCATCTGGCCCCAAATGTCAACTGTGCTGAGGCTGAGAAACCCTCAACTAGCGGGAGAGACTGTCTGTGTATATCTATCTATCCGTCTATCATCTATCTATATATATCCATTCATCCATCTAGCCATCCATCTCTATCTGTCTGTCTATCTATCTATCTATCATCTATCTATCTGTGGCAGTTTTTCTCAACTAAAGGATTGTACCCCCAGGGAACACTCATCAATGTCTGGAGACATTTTTGGTTGTCACAACTAGTAGGCGAAAAGGTACTCCTGCCTAATGAATATAGACCAGGGATACTGCTCAACATCTCGCAATATACAGGACTCTCCCACCCCTGATAATTATCCATCCCCCATAGTGTCCAGGTTGAGAAACCCTAGGCTAGATCCAAAAGAACCAATATCTCTTTAATAAACATTTCAGCATACAGGGAAGGAGATAATGGTTGGCAACATGGCATCAAAGAAATTCCGCTGGTGCCGTGGTGGAGAACCCCTGACTTAGGATGTGTCTTCAGCATCCGCAGCCCAGCAGCTCAGGCAGGAATGCCTCTCCGTGTGGCTTCCTCCCCAGGACATGAGCAAAGCCAGCGTTCAAGGGTTCTGCACAGCTGCATCTGGCCTCCCCCGTCTCTTTCCGAAGCAAGGAAAGGACCAAGGCACTTTCCTCACCCCGTATTTTAATGTTAGCTGGCTGGGTGGTGCCCAGTGAACCTTGCACAATCCAGAATACCACGTACCCAATTTTCCCTGGAATATCTTCCAGCTGAGCAGATGTACTGCCATGTGGAGAACTGTTTTCAGTTGATTTTGGCAGGGCTGAGGCAGGGTTGAATGAATGACAGTAAAAGAGTGTCCTTCCAGCATGAATTTGAGCCATTCAATTCGTACCTCCCTGTAAATTATTGTCTCTGTGGCTTCATTCTTACTAAATTCTGACTAATAATCTTCTTAGTAAATAGTAATTAAACCACCCATGTGCGTTTTATAAAAGAGCGGGCTCTTTGCCCTGCCTACACATTGGGACTATTTCAAAATACAGATATTGGAGTTTCAATTCTTGAAGTCAGATCCCCCGTGATGCTTATATGCATGTGTATCTTTCAGAGTCGCTCATTTGGTTCTGATTATGACCCAGGCTAGGAATCCCTGTGCTAGAACTTTCAAAATATTTACAAACACAGGCTACTGTATGGATTTTTGGATTCAAACTCCAAGACACATTAAAGTATCTTTGTCTGCTTCACTCCTATTGAATGACCTACCTATTTATGTTGGCTTGATTCTCACTCACGGCCAACAAAACAGTTTGTTTGATCATTGTTCATAGTAGCTTTTATTAACCATAATCATGTTATCAGGTGGAATTCAATCACAGGCAGACTTTTTGTTTTTTAGATCTATGATGAAATTCCAGACATGCTATTCGAATAATGCAGTGTTTAGGAAATATTTCGAGATGAAAATTCAATGGCTCCCCCTGATGCCACCTCTATAAATTATGTGCAACTTAGATTTTCAATCTGGATACTTTTAAAGTAGGAACTTCCCAAATCTTTTCACCCCATTGGTCAAAACATCACTTCTGAATTGCCCCAGGGCACCCTCATATTGATAAAAATATCACATGCATAGTGAAGGTCTTTCAAAGCACTGTTTGCATGTTGCCCCTTTACGTTGAAAGACTTTTTGAATATTAACTTGGAAGTGCACGGGCTTAGGTCCAACAGTTGTCATTTCCTGCAGAGGAATGGGATGCCAGCATTGGGGTGCTAGCTGGCAAATGCCATTCAGCTCTGGTTACAGATTCAAGGGGAAGAAGCCTTTACATTGACATTGCCACATTTGGAAGAATTCAATTTTAGCATCGGAACTCTGGGTATAACCACCATTACAACATCCATCGTATAACTACTTTGCTGCCCATTACCTCATAATGAAATGCAATATTATAAAACATCGTCGAGAGTAAAAATAGCATTTGGAGCATTTTGTTCAGGAAGCACTTTGTCTCCTTATAAGGTTAGCTCAATTCATTCTCTCTCTGTCTGTAGCATCTTACCTGATTTTCTCATTACAATAAGCTCTGCGTTAACCGCCATGCAAATACTCGATCCACACACTCCCACACTAGCACAGCTGAAGTCCTCGACTGCTTTTCACATCCTGGAGTCAGTGGCCAGCCAAAGGTCAGACTCAACCAGAGAATTCTTATTTGCGGTAAATAAACCCTTTCCGCACTTGGACGCAGTCCCCCCAGGCTGCAAAAACCATCTGACATTTTGCAATAACAGTCGCCTGTCCTGATCATTCTCAGCACATGTTTTATTTCATTCCTATGACCTACAGATGGGGTAGAGCACTGGGCAGACTGACGTCTTATTCCTTTCCTTTTTCTCCAACAGTTTTGATACCAGAATCAAGGTGTTTGCCAATGGGACCCTGGTGGTGAAATCCGTCACAGACAAAGATGCCGGGGACTACCTGTGCGTCGCCCGGAACAAGGTCGGTGATGACTTTGTCGTGCTCAAGGTGAATGTCGTCATGAAACCAGCCAAGATCGAGCATAAAGAGGAGAACGACCACAGGGTGTTCTATGGGAGTGATCTGAAGGTTGACTGCGTGGCCACCGGGCTTCCCTACCCCGAGATCTCTTGGAGCCTCCCTGATGGGAGCCTGGTCAACTCCTTCATGCAGTCGGATGACAGTGGTGGGCGTACCAAGCGCTATGTGGTGTTCAACAACGGGACTCTCTACTTCAACGAAGTAGGCATGCGAGAGGAAGGGGACTACATCTGCTTTGCGGAAAACCAGGTGGGGAAGGATGAGATGAGAGTACGTGTCAAGGTGGTGACCGAGCCTGCCGCCATCCGGAATAAGACATACTCCATGGTCCAAGTCCCCTATGGGGATGTGGTCACTGTAGCATGTGAGGCCAAGGGGGAGCCCACACCCAGGGTGACGTGGCTTTCTCCAACCAATAGGCTGATCCCCACATCCTCGGATAAGTATCAGATATATCAGGATGGCACTCTCCTTATCCAGAAAGCTCAGCGGTCAGACAGCGGCAACTACACCTGCGTGGTCAGGAACAGTGCCGGGGAGGACAGGAAAATGGTCTGGATCCATGTCAATGTCCAGTCGCCCAAGATCAACGGGAACCCTGATGCCATCACCACCGTGCGGGAGATTGCCGCCGGGGGGAGTCGAAAACTCATTGACTGCCAAGCAGAAGGCATCCCCACGCCAAGAGTGCTGTGGGCCTTTCCCGAGGGCGTGGTTCTGCCGGCCCCCTACTATGGGAACCGGATCACTATCCATCGCAATGGCACCCTGGACATCAGGAGTCTGAGGAAGAGCGACTCCGTGCAGCTTGCGTGCATTGGCCGCAATGAGGGGGGTGAAGCCAGGTTGATTGTCCAGCTCACGGTCTTGGAGCCAGTGGAGAAGCCCATCTTCCATGACCCCGTCAGTGAGAAGATTACCGCCATGGCCGGCCACACCATCAGCCTCAACTGCTCAGCCGCAGGGACCCCAACACCCACGCTGCTGTGGGTCCTTCCCAATGGGACGGAGCTCCAGAGTGGCCAGCAGCTACAGAGATTCTACCACAAGGGCGACGGCATGCTGCACATCAGCGGTCTCTCCTCCATCGACGCCGGGGCCTACCGCTGCGTGGCCCGCAACTCCGCGGGCTACACCGAGAGGCTGGTCTCTCTGAAGGTGGGGCTGAAACCCGAAATGAGCAAGCAGTACCACAATCTGGTGAGCATCATCAACGGCGAGACCCTGCAGCTGCAATGCCTCCCTCCAGGGGGCCGGGAGGCACACTTCTCATGGACGCTCCCCAACGGCATGGTCCTGGAGGGCCCCCAAGCACAAGGACGCTTTTCCCTTGGGGAAAATGGCACCCTCACCGTGCGCGACGCCTCGGTGTTTGACAGGGGCACCTACGTGTGCAAGGCGGACACGGAGTATGGTCCTTCTGTCACGAACTTCCCAGTTATTGTGATCGCATATCCTCCCCGGATCACCAGCGAGCCAACGCCCGTCATCTACACCCGGCCCGGAAATACCGTCAAGATGAACTGCATGGCCATGGGGATTCCCAAAGCTGAAATCACCTGGGAGCTGCCTGACAAATCGCATCTGACTGCCGGGGCGCAGGCCCGTCTGTATGGGAACAGGTTCCTTCACCCACAAGGATCATTAACCATCCAGCAGGCCACACAGAGAGACGCCGGCTTCTACAAGTGCACCGCGAAGAATATCCTGGGCCGTGACTCCAAAACAACTTACATCCACGTCTACTGAAACACTTGCCGGAGAACGTGGACTCCACGGTCGTTGCTTAGGACCTTAGAACAAAGCCTCCTTTGCAAGGAAAGCCGGGGCAGAGATTCAGAGCCCTAAAAAGATGTGTCACGGGCGTGGTGGCGCCCCCTATGGGATTCAGGTTCACGTTGACTTTGACCTATGCTTGTTGGCGAAAGGAAGCAATCAGAGATTGGAAAGAGGGGTCTGCCTCTCTGGGGACTTTCTTTTCTATTTCCAGGATGCCATGCGCTCTTGTCTGGCGTTTCACAGACATGGGCACAAATCTGTGTTGCAAATAGCACCCTGATGCTTTAATGAGCGTCTGTAGGATCCCTAAGGAGCAGTCACTGAAAATAAACATAGAGATTAACTGTGCCTTGCCACCCTGTTGAAGATGCACCACCTAGTTAACCCATTGCTGTTTTAACATGATAGAACATTCTAGAATGAGTACCCATCTTTCAGTTATTGCCTCTGTCACTTCAAAACTCCAATTTGCCCAGTAAGGGCTTAGAACCAGAGTGATCGATCTTTTTTTTTTTTGTAATGTACAAGTTGCATACAATACAGCTACCATTTTATATGAAAGAACTCTTTTTCCCTGGAACTCACTTTTTTAATAGTTATATATATATATATATTTCTTTCTAATCAGACGATGAGACTGGAAAGAGAAAGAAATACTTTCTGTCTCGTTAAGAAATAATAAATTATTGGTCTTTACAAGACTTGGATACATTAAAGCAGGCATGGAAATGCAATTATAAAAACATTCGTCCCCAACTTCCTTCAAATTCAGTAACTGCTATTATATTACCATTCACAGGAACCCCACAGGGAGGGAGGCTGGAATCTTGGATTTCCTTGTTTATGAAGTTTATCTTGAGAGCTGTGGTAGGGGGAGAGGAGAGAAAGGAGAGAGCTAAGTCATCACCCCACAGAATGAATCCAGAGCCTTCCAGAAAAGTCCAGAAACATCTCTCTCCCTGTCAGTTTGTGCCCACAGAAAGTAGGAGGCCTGTCATTTCCATGACTGCTTTACTGTATTTTTAAGGTCAATATAATGTACATTTGATAATAAAATACTATTTTCCAAACAGCTGGGCGATGACGACAGTGATATTTTCAAGCACAAAAGCAAATTTGGGTTTAAATAACAGTGTTTGAAATCTGCTTTTATCCACCACCTTTGAATTATTCTGTCCCCTACAAGTTTTTAACAGGCGAGGAAGTAGTCTGAGGCAGTGGCTCCAACCTATTTGACAGACAGGAAGGCAGGGTAGGACCCCTTGGTCCCCTCTGTTGACAGTTCTAAGTTGAGGAGGAAGAAGTGGTGCCCCAGAAATCCTTCAGGAAATTTTCTTTAGGAAAGAGCCATCTGGGGTACATGTACCAGCATTCCTCAAAGATGCAAAAACTGCCATTCCTTTGCCTCCTCTGAGAGGAAGAAATTAAGCAAACTCAAGATAAATATTTGGGAAGAAGATGACTGCCAGCATTGAGAGAAACCCAGTGCTGTTGATCTTTAAAGGATATTGCTCACTGAAACAGAAGAATGCTTGGCTTTTCACAGCTGTGTGGGAAGTACACAGCCTCTACCACTGATTAATCCACTTATTTGCTTAAGTAGATCAACACAGTCCTTACCGTGTGCCAGGTACCAGGATGGGAGCTGGGAACACCCAGATGAGGAGGATACACGTGATGCTTGAGGAGTTCACGCTCTGTAGACAAGCCGTTCAGCTAGAGCAGGGTTCCCCAACATTAGCACTAGTGACATTGGGACTGGATGACTCTGTGGTGAAGGCTGTGCTGTGCATTGCAGGGTGTTGAGCAGCATCCCTGGGCCATACCTACTAGAGGCCGGTAGCATCCTCTCCTCCAGCTGTGACAATGAAAAAATGGCTCCAGATGTTGCCAAATGTCTCCCTTGGGGGGAGTGCAGAATCACCCCTACTTGAGAATCACTGCCATAGATGATAGATAAATGATAGGCAGATAGGTGATGGAAAGGATAGACAGATAGGTAAATGATAGCTAGATAGATGATAGATGAGATAGCTAAATGAGATTAGATAGGTGATAGATGATAGCTAGATAGCTAGATGATTGATAGATAGATAGTTATACACAGAGTCTCTCATGCTAGGTCAGGGCTTCTCAACCTCGACACTATGACATTTGGGGCTGGATGACTCTCTCTGGTGGGGTGTTCTGTGCACCGTAGGGTGTTGACCAGCATCCCCAGCTTCCACCCGCTCCATACCAGTATCCCATTCCACCCTCCTCCCCCTCAATTTGACAACGGAAAATGTATCCAGACATTGCCACATGCCCCCTGGAATGCAGAATCCTCCCTGGTGGGAAATCACTGTGCGAGATCAACAAATGCAGCAAGGAGTCTTAGAAACATGTCTGTTTGGACTGCCTGCCTCTGTGTATGGATGCAGAAAATGAAAGCCAGCGTGGTAGAGTAACCTAGGTGTACAGAAACCCTCTGTTAGATACTCCTCTGTGCAATTTCTCCTGGGAAAAAATAGTACATCATCTCATTGACCCATGGTTCTGGGTTCATGTAGGTTAAAGACTGACGACAAACGTTTGTGGGTGGACTCAATGTACATTCTTGAGGACCTGCCACGTCCTGATGTAGGCAAGGTAGCATGACATGAAGAGGCGTATGATGGTCTGTGTATACTGTCTTCTCAAAGGATGCAAAACAAGCATGCAAGTCTGGTTAATTCATGGCGGAGAACTTCAGAAGCATTAAAGTCTTTCAAGGAGTATTTTTGAGTTCCAGGGGAGTCAAAGTCCACATCAGACAGAAGGGTAAGGGATGTTTTTGCGACTGAGAAGGCTTTTTTACTGGGCTGAGAAAGAGGGATTCCTGGGCAGAATGAGATGGATAGGACGGAAAGACTGCTCCCTTGGCAGCAAAACACTGCAAGGAAAGTTCCAGCCTCAAGCAAGGAGACCTAGGGTCTAGTGACAGCTCAAAAGCAACAGGCATATTTGGACTAGAGTCAAAAAAAGAGTTTCCTAGTTGATTGAAAATGGTAAGATATTGTAGTTGGTTGAAGAGTGTCCTGGAAAAGAGTCTTGTTGACCTGGAGTCTCAGAATGTGACCTTATTTGGAAACAGGGTCTTTGCAGATGTGATGAAGTGAAGAATCTGAGGTGAGGTCACCCTGCATGAGACTGGCCCTGAATCCAATGACGGATGTCCTTATAAGAGACAAAAGAGGAGAGATGCAGACACAGAGGAGAAGCCACGTGAAGACGGAGGCAGAGACGGGAGGCATGCGGCCCTCAGCTAAGGGACGTCTGGAGCCCCAGAAGCGGAAGAGGCAGGAAGGACCCTCCCCGGGAGCCTCCAGAGGGAGCGTGGCCCTGCGACCCTTCATCCCAAACTCGGGGCTCCAGGATGTGGGAGGATGAATTCCTGCTGTTGCGGCCTCCCACTGTGGGGTAATTGGCTACAGCAGCCCTGATAAATGAATGCAAAGAGGTAAAATTTTCTAGTAGAGATAGTACCGAGGAGAGGCATTTAAGTACTTTGTGACACTAAGAGGCCTTTAAACCAGTTTGCTCAGAAGAGGGGCACATATGATCAGAGAAGATCATTAATTGGAATCACATATGGTTCTAGTATGATTTGTAAATAATATACTAACTAAAAGATAGTTTTCTTACCCCCTAGATCGCCAACTTCTAACACCTGGCCTATGCGCTTGTAAATCTTTGTGCACAAGCAGAATTTTTAGCTAGCAGTCAATTGTCGCTCTTTGATGGTTCCCAGGTCCTTACTGGAAAACAACACCCAGACCAGGCTATTCTCTATAAAATTTCGTTTGTCATTGCAAACACAGCTCTTATTCCAAGGAAGTTGGACTGGACTCTAGACCTCATGAGGGATGCCCCTACCCTGCTACTGATTTCAAAATGCAAGATGCTGCGTCCTGCAGCAGCTTTTTCTGCACTTTTTGTCATGTGAGACCAAAACGCGGACAGGCAGTGTGGTGAGTGCCTGGATGCCAGGAGGACCTGAGGTTGCACAGGAGGGTAGGGGGACCACAAAGGTCATTTAACTCCATCCTGAATGTCTAGCTGTTCAGCCTCCTTCGGGACAGTCTTCTTTAGTTTAACCTTGTTATGACATAATAGGCAGTGATTCTCGTCCTTGGCTTCATGTCGCAATTACCCAGGGAGATTAAAATTTTCTCATGTCCTGGTGTGTTCATTTCCTGCGGCCGCCATAACAAATTACCATAAACTAGGGTGCTTAAAACAATTGAAATTCATCCTCCCCCAGTTCTGGAGACCAGGTGTCTGAGATAAAGGCGTCGCAGGGCTGCGATCCCACCGGAAGCTCCAGAGGAGGGTCCTTCCTGCCTCTTCCAGCTTCTGGGGCTCCAGCCATCCCTGGGCTGGAGGCTGCGTCACTCCCATCTCTGCCTCTGTCTTCAGGTGGCTTCACCTCTGTGTCTGTGTCTTTCTCTCCTTCTCTCTCTTGTAAGGACACTGTCATTGGATTTAGGGCCACCCTCATCCAGGGTGATCTCATCTCAGATCCTTCACATCATTACATCTGCCAAAAGCCTTTTTCTAGACAAGGTCTCCTTTGCAGGTTCCCAGGGGTTAGGGTGTGGACATATATTTTGGGGGGCCACCATTCAACCCACTACACCAACCCATATCTCTGAGTAACTAAACCAGAATCTCTGAGACAGAAGCCCCAGTGATCTGCGTCAAGATCGAGATGCCCCAGAGGAGGGCTTAGTGCTGGCTCCCTCAGGTGGTTTGGCGAATCTATACCATGGTCCGCTGTGGGTTTCTTTATGGTTCGATGCTCTTTGGGGCAGCCTAATGTGCCGATTTCCACCATGTTGTAGGGCACCTTCCTAAACAGACATTAGGACCTTGGTGTATATTGTTTATGCTCTCTATGCCTCTGTTCCAAGACTTGGGAGACAGAGGAAACTTACTGCACACCCACCTCATAGGGTCATTGTGAAGACAGAGAATAAAGTGCCTAGAACGGAACCTGACCCACTCCATTAGTCTGCATTGCTGTTTCCACACTTATTGCTATTATTCTTCCAGCTTTTAAAATAGCTATGGTTTCCAGAGCACTTTCACATGCTCTCTCCGTTTAAGCTTCACAATCTCTTGGAAGAGTTGAATTCTGGGGATGGGTTCTTAGAGATGATACAGTCCGATCTTACACCATCCAACTTCAGCTGTGATTTGCCCATCCAAAGCCATGTAGCAGAATCAGAATCAACCTGTGTGCCACGACGGGCTCCGCTCAACCGTGAGGCTTGTTAGAATATGGCAGAGCAAACAAGGCTTGGAATAGATGAGATGTGGACTTGAATTTAGGTCCTGCCCCTTCACAGCTGTGGGAACCCATGTGTCATCTACATGAGCTTCCATTTCCTTATATATCACATGGCAACCACTCACCTTCTAGGATTACTGGGAGAACCACTGAGATAACATGTGGATGATGGGACCAAGGTCAAAGGTCCTATTTAAAAAGGCATGCATCTGTGCCCACCACCTATTAGGATGGCATAAATCACCTGAAAGATAGAGATCAGTTTTGTTGTAGAAAACTCTCCATGAGGCTTTTTGGTTATGTGAAAGGAATGTCTCCCCAGGCTGGACTGTCAGATAGGTATTGAGATAAGAGGGCAAAGTAGTGAGGCTGTAAACAGGAGAACAGAGTAGAGATAGAGAGATGATAGATACATAGATAAAGGAGTGGATAGATAGATATGATAGATAGAGAGGTAGACAGTAGATAGAAATGACAGAGAGATACATAGATTGATTGATAGATAATAGATAGAGATGATAGATGATAGACAGATGATAGATGATAAATAGATGGATGATAGATAAATAGATAAGTAAGTAAATAGAGGTAGATAGGTATAGTATATAATATATAAACATAAAATATATACAAATGAATACAAAATTTAAAATAATAATATTTTGCTTGGTACATCACTGTCATTGTAGCACACAAAAAATGTATTTTTAAAAAGAAATCTTACCGCACCGTAGCCTGGATCTAAATCTGGCTCCCAGTTACGGAGTCTCTCACCTGTGAAATGTTGCCACCAGTGGAATTTCACGGAAGCGGTTAGCCATCCCCCAGGCCTCACGCACCTGCTGCTGTGATGCAGAATGTTGGCAGGGCACAGCCTCCCAGGTGGAAACTACATTTCCCAGGCTCCTTTGCCTTGAGATGGGGTCATGTGGCCAATTATTACCAACGATGTGTGTACCTTCCTGGCTAAGATGGTGAAGAAGCAGAGATGCCTTTTCCATCTCTCTTTTCCCATCCCCCACCGAATACAGAGATTAAAAGGCACTAGGGGATGGGGAAGCTGCAAGATGGGAGGAACCTGAGTGCCTGAATCACCATGGATACAGAACACATGACGTGGGCTCCCTGTGGTCCTCTATTGTGCTACCGTCTCCTAACTTCTTTCTTCTTACGGCCACCATGGCTCTGGAAAACACTCTTGCTCTTGAAAATAGGAAACCAGTCTTTTGGTGTCACACTCCTGCAAGTCTGAGGCTTATTTTACCCACAGCTTAGTCTCACATGAGACATTACTCCGTGACCGCATTGTGATGTTTAAATGAGATAATACTTCTGAAGGACTTCTCATGGAAATGGAAAAAAAAAAAAAAATTAGTAGTAGTGTCTTGAGGAATGACAGCGTAACTCAAATTTTTACATGAGTTGTAATTTTCTAAATCTCTCATATATACTGCAATTTAAAATATAAAACAGGACTTTAAGTGTTAATTCTTTACTCTAAATCAAAGAACTAGAGCTCATGGGGTTTTCTGGCCACCCCTAGTTCTTCCCATGTGTAAGTGGCAGAGAAAGACTGCGTGAAGTCCAGCCCAATATTTCAGCTGGATTATTAAACATGGCATATGCTGAAATTTTCTACAATGCTCCCTTCCAGATGCCCACACTCCGAGGCCCTCTTTATCACGTAGGAGATAGAACGAGCAAAGTATATTTTAGTATTTAAAACGTCATAAAGAGGTTTGGGAGTTATGAAATGTTGTTAGTGAAAACTGCATTCAATTTTCTCTTATGAAAAAGAAAATGCAGACATGTCCCTTTAGAAGGAAAAAAACTGATTATTTTTCATTAAGGCTTGGCAACATGAAGTTAAAAGCAATAATAAAAAACAAAAAACCTAAGAGATTTCACATAGGACGTGAAGGTTCATGCAGTCCCTTCTTATTATTTTATGTTCTATAAGCTTTTGTGAAATATGTCAAAATACTTTAAGGATATATTTTCTGGGTCCAGATTTGAGATGTTGGAGTTGATAATCTGCTCCAGGATTTGGCTCGAAAGGATTATAAAAATAGATCACGTGTAAAAGCTCTTTTCTGTTTTTCTTTCCGGACGATGGTAGGAGGTAGAGGTCTATTTTAAATGAATAGCTAAAGAAAGAGACTAAAAACACAATTTTCAGAGAACTGAATTAGTATCTACTGCAGTTTCATTTTCTTATTGTTGATTCTGGAAAACGACACTTTTGTGAAGCCAAGACTTAAACTAATAAAAAAAAATAATAACCACTGAGATTTTTTTCCTACAGAAAACACTGCATTTAGTACATTTCAAAATGGGGAAAAATAATCTTTCTTGACATCCTTCCAGCAGAAACCAGAAAAGTGCAGAAAAGGCCACCCACCATGAGGCCAGTTGCTGGAGTGACAGACGAATTGACCAGAAGGAAGGCGTATCAGGGGCCATTTGGGAGAGAAAGATCAAGTTTCTAATGTTTTCACACATAAAGCTTGTATTATATGAGTTTCCATAAAAACCTTTGTCTCATATTATAAATGTCGTAAATAACAAGATATAAGAAATATAGAAAAAAAGTGAATCAATGAAAATTATTCCCAATCCCGTTACTCAAAGATAAATACTCTGAATATGTTTAGCTTTTGGTAAGTGTATTTGCAAACATATACACATATGTAATTTCAGTCCTATTTATATGCCAAACCATATCGTTCAAAGCTCATTTATGTTCCACATAACAATATATGATTTGCATATTTCAATGCCATTTAGTCGGACTGAGATCCCATTAAAAGCATGTGCCATAAAGTGTTTAATCCTATCTTGGTGGACATCTAGATGGTTTCACATTTTTGGCCATCTCTGCAAAGAATCTGCCATAAATCTCTGAAGTTCTGAGGTGTATTATTGCTACAGTGAAGGGTGAGAACATGTTGAAGGCTTTTGCCAAACACTTTGGAAGGGCCTTCCAAAAAGAGATTCCCGTTTCTATTGCCACTACAC